CTAAGATAGATTTCACTAGCTACTCTTTCATACCCTGCTTCATTTTGCCACCATCTGAAATAATCTTGTCCATTTATTTATTAATTAAAAAAATGTCTGTCTCACCCTGCTTCCCGGCTCCTTCCTGTTCTGATACATAAGCTACCTGGGAACAGGGACGTTGGCACATGGCACACAGTATTCAATAGTTAGTTTCTGAAGAAAGTATATGAAAAGGAACTTAACAGATGTGAGAACATGACTTATTCTGACTACAACAGGTCACTTTGGTATGTGGTCATCTAGGTATGTGGGGCTCATTCATTTTTCAGTGTGGTTTATTGGTTAAGAGCATGGAATCAGCATGGAACCAGATAGTCTGGTCGTACTATTTCCTAGCTCGATTAGTAAGTGTGGGCAAATAACTTAATCTCTCTGTACCTTGGGTTGTGGTAAGGATTAAAGAGGTAGTAAATACAGAGTAATGAGAACAGCGTGTGGACCATATTAAGCGTTCAATAAACACTGTATGATGTCTACATATGTCCAATCGCTAGTCCAGGGTGGGGAACCTGCGGGGCCCTTGGGAAAGGATGGAACACCTCTTATTCATGGCAGGAAGGCTGGCAGAGGCACAGCACCCAGTTGTAGAGAGATCACTGACCAAATGGGACATCAGAGCTAGTGGCTTGAAGTGACGATTGAGAGAAAGGGTGCAAACCCATAAGGCTTGGATACTCGGGGATGGCAGAAGCAAAGCTGGTAAATGGTGCAGATCACTCTTCAAAGATGTGAGGCTACTGACTGTAGACAAACACTCTCCTGGTTCCAGAGATGTACTGCCAGGTGCACTGGGCCCATTTAGGGTATAGGCTGGGACAGTGGTGAGTATCTTAAACTACCTGTTTACATACTGAAAGAAGAGAGTGAGCCTTGCATTTCTGCCCATGTATAATTTCTCTTTCAGCCTATTTCTTTTATTCATCATACAGCTTCCATTAGTTTTGTGCCTATTGTAATTCTGGGCTACTTAATTCAGAGAAAAAAATAATCATAATTTCAGCATTAAGGGCAGATGACCCAAAGTTTTAAATATTAATGCCCTGACCTCAAACAAAATAGGTATCGCCATAGCTAAGAGTCATATCTGACTATTAATAGTAGACGAAAAAAGAAAGAGTCACTTTTTATTCACAGGTTCTGGGACAAGAATTTATAAAAATGCTAAACTGGATCATGTCAATGGCTCATACAACCACCAGAGTGTTTGGTCTTTGATGGTCACTCCCAAGGAAGTTTGCTAATGAGCCTGATAATTGTGCCTCTCGATGTCAGTCTCAGAGTGAGATGTCCTAGCGTCAGCTCTTTAGTTCTGTATCATATATTCTTCCATCTGTCTCTTCATTTCTAAATGGAGTTGTTCAATTAACTTGTAACCTCATCAGTTTTCTCAAATAGAAAGGAAGCCACGGAAGAAACCTGACTGGTATTAAACTCGATATATATCAAGGTGTAAATGGCGCTTAGAAATAATCATGTATTGATGCATTTGCTCAGACCAAGTACATTCTGGACATAAGTCCCCCTGTTCAGCAGCTATTCTTAAAGAGACAATAACTGCCAATTTGAAAAAATAACTTTTAAAAATGTCAAAAGTGACTCAAGAATTTTAGAAGATGAATTTACTAGGAAGATGCTAGTGGTCCATATGCTTTCTATTCTATTCCACAAATAATTGATTATATATAATAATAAAAATTTCTTTTATGATATTTGCCAATAATGGTCAAGAAAAGTTTACCGATTTTTGTCGAAATCTTTTGCCAATAATTTTCAGAGATAACCACTTATGCTGATGAAAACATAAAAATGATGACTTTTCCAGAGCCCTATTTGCTTTCTAAGCACTTGAATATATATGACCTAATTTTACATTATAACAACCTTATTGGATACATAGAATCTGATGTCAGGTTTCCATCTGGCAAATAAAAGAACATGTACAGAGAGGTTAAGTATTCCTCAAAGTCACACAGCTGACTAATAGCAGGGCCAGAGGATGTGATTGCTGTCTCTTTCTCCAATTCAGTACATCAGACAATAATTCCTATATTTTGTGGCCAAGTAAAATTTCAAAAAACATTTCAAAGGGCCCAAATAGGGTTGCCAATTTTGTTATTTTTCCAGGTAAAGAAAAAAAAAATATATATATAACTTCTACCCACTATTTCTATCATATCATAAAACTAAAATAGGAAATAGGAAAAACATGATCTTAGAAAATAGGAAAAATAGGAAAAACATGATCTTAGAAAACGTGTAGTTTTTCAAACTAATGACGTTTGCTTTCTAAGAAAATTACTATTTTTTACTTTTTTCCTCTCATTTTGCTGTGGACTGATGAAAACTCTTGTTGTGGTCCAGAACCAGTTCTTAGACCAATACTTGCAAACCATTTCCCTCTTTTGTGCTGCTTCAGAAGTCATCATAGCTCTTCCACAACTATGCCTTCTTGCATTTCACAGTCTTTAAGAAGAAATCAGTAAGTGCTAAAAGTTTTTCCTTTTGAAAGATGCTGTTCCTCTACTGATACTGTAACAAGATTATTACTATCATAAATTTACATCACGAACACAGAGCTGTTGATTGACTGGATATAACTAGGCTGAGTGCTAGCAGGGAAGCAAGAAATGGAGAAGCAACATGGTGCCCGCCACAATTACTTTTTTCCCCCACATTACAGTAAGAAGCAAGGGCAGGAAAAATGCTTTGTGCCTGCTTTCTCATTTCTCCACCCACTTTCAAACTCATCCAAGGAAATGAATCATGATGACTTCTGTCTAGCTGTGTGCCACATCTGTCTTTACCTCCACAAAGCCCACTCTTATTCCTCCTCTTAGACTTGGTTTTACAGTCTGTGAGAAGTTCCCAGGCTTTTATATATGTATTATGAAACATACAGATATCTAATTTTATAAAACTTCAGAGTTAATTTACCATTGTATTCTACTAAAAAGTCCAAGGGAACTGAGGTTGGTTTTGGGGACACTCTTAAATTGGCATTTTCAATGTTGACTGTATTGATAGTTTGATGTCACATTTTAGTACACACCAAAGGAATAACTATCAAATCATGATCCTATAACCTTGATCAGTGCATGATCTTCCAGAATCTGTGATCCTCTTTGTTGATTTCCTTCAGCTTTGGGAGGGAGCTACGTGAATGGTGTTGTGAAAGAGAAAAGGCAGCCCAATCAGCCAAATCAATTCCAAATGATTAACGATTTCTTTTATGAATGGCCAGTGATCAGTGTCATAGCAAGAATATCTCCAACCCAACCCAGTCCCCTGAGGAAAGAGGCTCACCAATGGGATGCTATGTCAAAGAAGGTTCTCTGATGTTCAACAAGTATAGTGACACCTTCCCCAAAATAACACTTCTTAAAAATTCCTTTAACACAAATTTCAATCACAATACTTCTTTTTCCTATGAAAGATAAATGCCTGTATATCATCAAATGACCACACATTAATAATAATACTTATATTTATATAGTGTTTTATGGTGTATAAACTATTTTAACTTATGCTATCATTTCGTAGGAATATTCTGCAACAGACAGTACTACTTCCATTCTACTGAAGAAGAAACAGACTAAAAGAAGTTATGTGATTTGCTTAAGGTCACACAGACAAGGGCCAGAACCCAAGGCTGGTCCTTTGACCTCACGCTCAGGGCGCTGCTCATTATATACATTCTTTGTAAGGACGGTCACTTCTTAAGGTGAGCCCAAGGAATAAAAGAATTGAAAGCTGGCTTTTATTCCAATCAGGGCAGAACGCCAATCTATCAATAACCTCAGAAAGAAGGGCTGCTCATACTATTAAAAAATCTGGGAGGGTTGATGATTTTCTTCAGTTTTCTCACCATTACTATAATGCCAACGCCATTTGTGCTCATTCTATTTGATTTCTTAGAATTCATCACATAAGCCAGCCAATATAGGATAGTCATGAATTCAAGCAAGGGAAACACTGGCCATTCACAAATCATTTGGAATCATTTTCATTATACCTGCTCTTACAAAATAAATATTACTTTTGTAACACTAAATTAAAAAAAAAAATCAATGGAAATGTTGTTGACCACATATTTTTGTTGTCCATATACAGGGCAAGAGGTATCCACAAATATATAAAATAGATGACATGTAATCTAAACTTTGCAAATAGCTAAATAATAAGAAACTGATAAGTATAAAGGGGTTAATGGATATTTATTTACTAGGTAAAAAAAACACTCATTGTGTGAAACCTCAATAAATAAAAAGCATGTCTATTTTAAGTAGACTCGTCCTAGAAGTCAAAATAGGGCTGCGTTTTCTGAAATTAGTAACTAGTGTTCATTCAACCCAAAAGTTTGGACAGTATTAACTAACACATAATACAATTATCATAACTTTTTTTTTCCATATCTGATTACAGGCTCTGTTCATGTTTAAAATATATATATATATATATATATATATATATATATATATATATATATATATGGGATCATTAGGAATCATTTCCAACAGCAGGACAAACAAGCAAGGTAAACTTGGTATTTCTTCTCCCCTGGTTCACATCATTTAGACTGATTAAAATGTTAATTTTTACATACGTGAATAAACGTAAAGGAGCAAACAACTGGAGACAGCACCGTGTGCTAGCAATCATTGCAGGTGGGTAAACTGACAACATGTAACCGCATATTAAGACAAATGTAGAATTTAGACAAAGTATTCCATCTCTTTTCAGATGTATACTTTTAAACCTCAGGAACTGTTTTCAGTAGATGTCATGCCTTTTAACTTGAAAAAGGTAAGCGCAAATAAGCTCCCAATTGTCTCCCCAATATGTAAACCACATCTCGGGCTGCTGTCTCTGCTACTCCTTTGAAGTTTCCCTGAAATGTCATGTGTTGTGAAGACTGCTGTGCATAAGCAAGACAATTTGCTCACTCTCAGAATTCTTACCGGTTTCCACTGCTATCTGGTACCCAGCCTCTAGTCTCCGAGATGACCTTTCCAGCCTCTCTGTGTTATCGAGCAGATGTGCCCTCTGAAAAAGAAAAAGGGAAAAAAATCACACAGTCGTCTACAACGTTCTTTTTTTTGCCTTAAAAAAAATAATGCCGTCGTATGCCCTAACATTTCAGGGGGTGGGGGGGAATCACAACCCATTATAGATAATTTTTAGCACATCTTCCTTTATACAAACCACTACAATGAACAGATTTTTCAGTCAATCGTGTATGGACCATCCACTTTTTTGTTTTAAAAGGCAGATTCATGTCGTATGTGGCCACAATGAATCTTACTCCAAAACACTGAGAAAGGTATGGAAACCAGAACCAACTGGATCTTTACTGTTTCAGCAGAAGTAGATTTATGAGGTATCTGCACAGATCTATGATCCCTATTTTGTATTTATTTTTTGTAAAATTCAGTCATTTAATAAAACTCACTTGTTCCTTTGATTCCTACACATAGTAATTTATAAACAGAAACTTTATTTTTAAGAGAATGCCTCTCAATTTAGATGTACAGCAAGATGCCATATAGAACAACGTATGCTACAAAAACAGAATACTAACAGCAGTTCTAGTTCTAAGACCACTCGGGGCAACCACTAAGAAACAAGAGACACATGTTTCCCCCATGCACACAGATGTACAAAATTGTGGATTTATTCCCAAATATTCCCAGACATATGGCACTAGGCTGAAAGTGAATTTCTGACACATAGTGTTTTAGACTGTGAACTAAAATGATAATACTTATATATACGCTTTTCTATTACATTTGATGGGGGAAATTAGAGAATTTCCCCCAAATCCTCAGCCTCTAAACTTTCTTTTCTACATTAAGGCTGATTTTCTTTTCTTTTCTTTTTTAAAGCATAATGATCATACACTAGATCATATTCAGGTTTATAAAACATATTAACAAGCTAATCATGGCTGTGAATGGATAAGAATGTGTGCACGCCTATGGGAATGTGTGTGTGTGTGTGTGTGTGTGTGTGCATATGTATGTATAGATGCATGTATATGTGGATACTTAGAAATATAAGAATATGTGTAACTGTATATTTGCGTGTATGTACATGCACACATGTATTTGTATAAATTAGTACTGCCCCTTTCAAACCAGTTTTGGTATCTGGTCAAAAAGAAAGAAAAAAATGCAGCCATAACTCCAACTTTGTGTTGTTGACAGATGTCATTTAAAATCGAAGAAATGCTTTCTAATAATAATAAAAAAGGAGGTGCCACACATATTATCTGAGTGGCTGTCGAGCGAAACGATCCACCTTGCTCTAATGAGCCCCCATGGATCTTGGAGATGCAAGCTGTATTGACATGCACACTTAAGCTAATACACCTAGACCAGTGCCTCCAAGCTCTAGCAGCCAGGGATGCTGACAGAATATCTCGCTCCCATCTTCAAAGAAAGGAAGTGATTAGTATGTTATCATTACCATTCAAAACGTGATTTCCTTATTCCCTCCCGGCATAGGTGACACATCTGAGATGCAGCCAGACGTTGGATGCAGCTAAAGCCACATCAAAGCTTTCCTTGAAAATTTTTTTTGGGGGGAAGTGCTGGGGGGAGTGGGGGGAAGAATCATTAAAACAATGCATTTAGAACAGAGAGATAGGACCTGATGTGAAGGTCAGGAAAGCTGCAACAACAGTCTATAATAATTAATAGAGTCGTCTACTATACAGTGGAGAAATTAAGAGAAAAACTGCTCCCCCACCCCCACCAATCACTCAAGGCTGTAATTGAGAAAAAGAAAAGCAAGGGGAGCTTTATGTGTTCGGCATTAATGACTATTTTTAAATAAAATTAAACACTTTACTCAGCTTGTCAAATACAGCTTTCTTATTCCTAATTCTCACTACATGCAGGTTTTGGGAGTGGGGATTGCTCTTCCCTTCTTTGAATATTGTTTTCTATCTTAACAAAGGACTTGATTTCAAATTGGTGATTCTCTAAAAAGATAATCAGATTTGTGATATCAAGAGTAAATGTGAATTTTAATCCAGAATAACAGAACAAAGATTTTTGGTTCATTTTCATATTGGATGAAATCCCTAAACTAAAAGAAAATATTTAGCTACTGTAGATTAAAAAAAAAATAAAAGCTCAATACTGAAAATGCACAGTCTAATTATATGATAATATAAAATGCAGGAAACAAAGTGTTTAAATGTAGAATGATTTTTGAGATTCCAAGAAAGGGAGTCAAATCAGCTTATTCAGTATATGGCTATAATAGAGAGCAAAATTTCTAAGAGAACTTTTTATTAAAAAAAAAAAGTATACTCCTAAATAATGGAATAAAGGTATATTCCTAAATAACTCTTCGTCAGGACAGTTCAATTTTACCAGAGCAAATCTGCACACAAGAGGACTACCAGTTTACCAGCAGCTTTCCAGCAGGACCTCACTTTGTATTTTGGAACCTCTTCACTTAAGTCAAGCTAAAATCAAGTTCTTGTAACAGCTGTGCTATTTACATCGTCCCCTTAGTTGTGCATTGCCCTGGTCTCTGAAAATGAAAGGAAATGCACTACAGTAGCAACCGATGCTTTCAACTTGCCCCCACACTCCATCCCAAACTCATTCTCTCACCCTCTTCTCAGCCCTTTTCAAAGCAGGTAAGTGAAGCTGTGCAGAAGCTTCAGACACAGCTCCACTTGTGTGAGGAGCTGTGCAACATGGAGAGCTGGAGATGCAGGATTCAAACAGAGAGCTTGGCATAGCCAACACCAGTTCAGCTCCCTATGCACTACCAGCCTGCCTCCAAGGATGCTCTGTTACCAGAACTGAGCCCCAAAAGAGCATCATAAGGAACGGATAGGGCATACTTTGTTTCCAAACACAATGAAACATCCTATTTTGAAGCAGAGGAGTGTTTGTCTTCTTAGCATAGATACAAGGAAGAAATCTGGGGTACATTCGCTGTTTGATTACTCTGAGAATCCTGGCTGAGAAACAATCACTTTGGAGCAAACCATTTACCAACACAGTGTCATCACTGCAACCTATTCTATAAATATCAATGCTGCACCCATATCAAAGACTTTAAAAAGAATATTTCAGAGTATACTATTCTGTTAGTTGAGTGATCTAACTCTTCCAAGTACAATTCCATTTCAGGTTACAGTTTTGGAAACATGCATTCCAGAAGCATAACTGATAAAACTGTTGCTATAGGCACAAAAAAGGAATTAAGCCATAAAACGATGATGAAACATATTTTAAAAGAAATGCAGATGTGACGTTTTCAGCTTATAGAATTAAGATTACTAAATCCATACAATTCAGCTTAAAACTAAATCTTCTGTCAATGATGCGGATGGTACTAAGGCACAAGGGTTTATTAATTATATTCACTGCTAAATTCAGGGCCAAGAGCTTCATGTAGTTTCTTCATACAGTGGTTGTCAAGTCTATTGTTGGTTGCATTAACACTTGAAAATTCAAATTCTTCACCTAAGCCTGAGTATATGCAAACACATACAAGCAGTCTGTCTTGCAGAAGAATAATGTTGACATATCACTCACATCAAAACTGCGACTGATAATATTCATTTAGGATATACATCTGCTTCCACGCAGGGAAGATAAAAAAAAACACAAAAAGGTTGGAGGGTGAGGGTTTTGTGTATTTTCACCCTTCATTTTATATATCATTATTACTTCTACTGAGAAGACATCACTAATGCATCTTAAATCAGAAGAGGTGTTGAAAACCACTCTCTACAAACCTCTAAATTAGCATTCACATCACCTAGAGAATGATGACATGCCAATTAAAAAAAAACTTCTGGGAAAATCTCAATCAATGCAGCCAATCTAAACTTGAAAATAATTCACAGGACTCTGATTATTATAAGCAATTAGACAATTTTTAAATTGCAATATGGGTCATTATTTTATGCCCTAATATAAAAGTAACAAAATTCAATCCCACTAAGTAAAAAATATTACTACTCTATTTCTGAAAAGAGCAAAGCACATTTGATAAGTATGGTCTAATTTAAAAAAACATACGGAATCATTTAGCATCCCTCATTGACACAGGAATAAAATTATCAACATTGTTGTAAATATTTGCTTGGCCACAAAGAAAAGTCTGAAGCTGCATTATGAAACAGACCAGCAAACTCAGAAAAGTGAGAACTCACTTGGGCGCTATTTCCTACAAAAAGGAAAGTGTTTAACGATGAGGAGAGCTTTAGATATCCTTAGGTATCTGTGTACACAGACTAGTAGGGTAATTATAACATATGTGTGCTTCCTCAAAAGGACAATGGATGCATGATATCTAATGGTGAACCTAAGAATTTTGGTTGAGAGAAAGGAGTTTTTTTAAAAACAGTTTTTAGTAAAATAAATCAGAAGGTCAGGAAAAAATGTTTAATCACATTGACTTCCTTGAGAAACCAATATGGATAAAACAAAACTGAAGTCAGTCTACATTAAAACTACGCTTGGGTATAGTTTTAAGATATTCCTTTATTTTTCCTCCCTTTTTTGGTCTTTAAAATCTGAATTTGCTTCCAAAGCTGGCAAACAACAATGATCACTGTGATAAGCATTATTAGGATGTACTTGTTTTTTTTTTAAAGATAGCAGAGACCATTTCTAGCAATATAATCAATACTTTTGCCATGTGTAGATTTTCCTGGAAAAACAAACCCAAAGATTTTACTTCAGATTTAGAAACTCAATTTTATAGGGAAAAGCAGAATTTTTTTTTTTTAAAGCAAGCTAGGAAGTACTCACCTCTTCACGTAATTTTATCAACTGCAACATGAATGCACCAAAAAAAAAAAAAGATAAAAAGGAGAGAAATGGCAGGAAAGAAAGATCAGTTGTGTGACAGGATACAGAATTAACATTGACAATTTATCTGTTTACATGTTTAGCATTTAAAAATCACAGACAAACACATTAAAAGAACCTAAACATAGACTACATGCAGAGTTTTTTGAACGAATAAAGATCACTTTCTCACACTGTCACATTAAACAAAGAGAATAG